CCCCCCAAGCCTGTGCAGCAGCAGACGAGGTGATGCTGGGAGCAGAGCTGATGCCGCCATCCCCCATGGCCCCAGGCGGGACACCCCCGGCCCCGCTCCCAGCACCTTTCCAGCACTTTCCCTTCAAACCTACTTATCCCAGCTCCCTCCAGCAGTGCCTACTGAAATTCCTCTTCCCATGAGGTCTTGGGCAGTGGGCTGAGATGTTGAAGGGTTTTTGAGTAAATATGGCTGGCAGGAAGCATTAAATAACTAACTAAGGCAGCTGTTGTCTGCCCTAGAGGGGGACTGTTGCTTTTTAAGCAAAAGCAATAGAAATATTAATCACCTCATGTCAGGTGAGAGGAACTTGGTGAGAGGCTTGTCATTAAGCTCATTTTCCTTAGGAAGTCTGGGATAAGTCGATTGGAGAGTAAGAAAAAAATTGTAAGGTAACACCAAGACCTTTTTTGTTGTTGGCAAAAGAATAAAAGAAGGAAGACAAGCACAGTCATGGCTGAGGCAGCCTGCTGGCCATGGGTAGCTGGCCTGGGGGAGAAATTCAGGTTTGCATCATAAAAGACAAAAATACTTGCTGCTGAAATACATGTTACTTAAGCACAGTTGCGACAGCCCGGCGCGCTTCAGAAGGAGCTCGCGCCGGGGCCAGGCTGCGCAGGGCAGGTGGGGGTGGTGGGAATGTGCCTGCCGCGCACAGGGTGCGCTTGGGCACACTCAGCCCTGTGTGGGGCACGAGTCCCCCCCAGCAGCTCTCCTCTGCTCTCCCTGCAGATCCTCCAGGGCCTTGTTGACGTCCGCATCCCACACAACGATTTTTACCGGAAATGTAAGTGCACGGCAGCAGGCCCTCTAGCCAGTACCCATGTCCCCTGCGTGCCACCTAGCCCCAGCACCCCCCTGCTGCCTTGCTGAGGGTGGGAGGGGGCACTGTGATTAACAGATTTGGGGATGCACCTTGATGGCTGATAGCAACCCACTGCCACCCCCACGGGCGATGGGGTCACTGCTTCGCCCTCACCCTCCCAGCTGGGTTAATTAGTACTGATACCTATGAGGAGAAGGGCTTGGAGGAGGATCTCTCCGTAGCGGGGATTGGTGGCAGTGCAAGGACAGCTCATCAGGGCTCTCCCCGTCATCCCTGCCTGGGGTTTCCCACGGAGGGGACGCTGGCGGGGCTGGCCCGCAGGGACCCCTGTGAGGAGGGAAGGCCAAGCATCCCTCTCGCACAGGACTGACTCTCCTCTTGCCCCCACTAGTGTTTTTAGAAATTGCGGATGAAAAGTCCAGGCACTCTCTCCATGAGAACATGAGCAAGATCAAAGCACCGACGCAGGTCATCTGGGGAAAGCAGGACCAGGTACACAGCCCCCTCCGCCTCCCCCATGGCACCGTGCCTCCATCTCTGCCCATGTCCACCCGTGGGGGCATGGCACGGGCTGTGCTGCCAAGCTGTGCGCTGCTCTGCAGCAAGCTGACACACGTGTCCCCGTCCCTGGTGGGTTTGGACACAGGGGCTCAGCGGGGTGGAAAGCTGCCAGCCAGCACAGGGCCAAGGGAGGGGAGGGCAAAGGGCTGGGGGGGGCAGGTGCCAGCGCCGCAGCAGGCGTGGGCTGGGAAGAGGAATAAAGTGCCAGCAAATAGAGTTGTCCTGGCAACTGGGGAGAAACGTGCTGTCCATGGGTAGGCGGTGAGGCAAAGGCATGGGCTTCTGTTTCTTGTTCCCTGTTTCTGTGTAGGGATGGTTACGGAGGGGGGGAAGGAGGCAAGTTGCGGGCATGCAAAGGGCTGTGCAAATGCAAAGGTGCAAGCGTTTGCTTGCAATGACCCCTTTGCACTGAGCTGGCAGCCCAAAAGCATCCATGAGAGTTCCCTGCTGCATGTTGCGACCAGCACCGTGCAGCCTCCCTGCCCTCTCCCCACGCGTGGGTACCGTGGGACAGGGCTGCCATCGCAAGGACCATGTCCGCATCTGTCGTGGTTTAACCCAGCTGGCAACTAAGCACCACGCAGCCACTCGCTCACTCCCCCCTCTCCCTCAGTGTGATGGGGGAGAGAATCGGGAAGGAAAAAAAAAGGTTAGAGCCATGGGCTGAGATAAAGACAGTTTAATAAGAGAAAAAAATAATAATATTAATAATGAGAATGGTAACAGAATATACAGAATATACAAAACGAATGATACAAAACGAACGATGCACAATGCAATTGCTCACCACCCGCCGACCGATGCCCAGCCTGTACAAAGCCATCCTCCCTCCCCGAGCCATGATCAGTCCCCGAGCAGTGATCACTCTCCCCGCAACTGACTGACTAGCCCCCCCAAGCATGACATTATATGGTATGGAATAGTTCTTTGGTCAGTTTGGGTTAGCTGTCCTAGCTGTGCTTCCTCCCAGCTTGTTATGCACCTGGCCGAGCAGGAGAAACTCAAAAAGTCCTTGAGTAGTCTGAGCATTACTTGGCAACAACTAAAAACATCAGTGTGTTATCAACATTCTTCTAGTACTAAATCCAAAACACAGCACTTCTATGAAGAAAATTAACTCTATCCCAGCCGAAACCACGACAGCATCCCTGCTCAGCACCTTACTTGGACTTGCACAGGCAGCTCCAGCAGGGTTTCTATGGTTGCCAGCAAAACCTAACTCTGCCCATGAAAGTGACTGGTTTTTTCCCCTGCCATCCAGGTCCTGGATGTTTCTGGAGCCAGTGTTTTAGCGAGCGCTATCCCGGACTGCCACACATACATCCTAGAGAACTGCGGGCACTCGGTGGTGGTGGAGCGGCCCCGCAAGACAGCCAACCTCATCCTGGAGTTCCTGGCAATGCTGCACAGCATGGACAACAACAAGAAGCAGGCATGAGCGTGGCGGGGAGCCGAGCACCCATGCTGGGTCTTTTAAATTGTAAAGTACTGCAGCTTTGATAAGTTCTCAGGGATCTTGTATGAATCGGGGTGAATGTGCCAAAGTCCCTGAGGAAGGCAGAATCACTGATACCTAAACCTATAGCACCGCCGGCACAGCGACCTAGGGGTCATTGAGCAATCTCCATAGATACAGGAACGGAAGCAGAATGTCTCCCTTTTCTACTTAGAGGTAAAGTAGGAACGAGCCGAAATCACCAAGCGCTAGCCATACAGTGTGCTGAAGCTCCTTATGCAGCCACCCACCTTACCCGAGTTACTGGCACGTAGTTGTTAATGACATTTACCTAAACTATATAAGAAACGTAGGAAGGAAGAAGCATCCTGGACTGAGACTTAGAATATTTCTACTACTTAGAGTCTGTCGCGTTGCATGCTGCCGTGCTGTAAGAGACCCCCAGTGCTCCAGGCGTCTGCTCGAGTGCTCTTTGTATAGCTCCTTAACTCGTGATTTATGCAGAAAACAACAGAAAACTTCATGCGTGGAAGTCCAATGACTGTATGTGCAAAAATGTTTACACTTTGAGTGGGTTTTTTTAAATCCCGGAACAGCTCCTGCGTATATATAATGCCTTAACATTGCCCCGGGTACGATGCCTGCGTGCAGCCCACCTTGCCCAGGGGATGGTTCCCCCTGAGGGTGAACATAGCAAGTGAAAACTCGGGGTGCAGACAGCAGCTTTGCCACCGTTGTGCGAACCGGAGGGATGGAAACCACCCGGAGTGATTCGGTCCCCGAGCCCGAGGCAGCAATAAGCCCGTGGGCAGGGTGCGAGTCAGCAAACTCGGGCAAACTCTTGTCTCAGCTCTTCTATCATGTCGTGCTGCTGAACTCCTTGATGTAAATAACAATTTTCTTAATGAATTCCGTGAATTCTGCAAATGCCGACATTACTGAAACCAGGTGTGAGGGGTGGGAGCGGGCTGTGTATGCAAACAGCGTGGGGGTGTGGGCTCCCAAGCTTGCTGGGTGGCGAGGAGGGGGACAGCTCACCTGCGAGGGAGGCGCTGGGTGGTGGCATGGACACGCACAGTGCGCTTGTGCATCCTCTGACCAAGGATATATAAGGTTATAAGCCCTGACCAAGCATGGACACGCACAGTGCGCTTGTGCATCCTCTCGATGGGTTATAAGCCCTGACCACGTGAAATTATAGATGGAAACGGGCAATGCAGACAAGCTACGCTTTGCAGCTTGCAAGGTGATGTGCAAGGATGGATCCTGCACCTTCCCAGGTGCAGTCCCTCACCACGCGTCCCAGGGGGAGAAAGCTGGTCCTGGTCACGGCAGGACCCACAGCTGCTGGAGGCAAGGCAGTGAGTGGTCCTCTGGAAGGCAAAGCAGCAGGCAGCCGTCACCCCTCGGTCACCCCCAGCCCTCCATGGGGGTTGACACCAGGTGCCACGAGACCCCCCCGCAGACTGGGTACATGCACTCGCGGGGCTGACAGCCATCTTCTTGCCATCTTTCCAAGGCACCCCAATCTGTACATATATCTGAAACTCCCCAGCAGTTTCTCTGCTCTTTTTAAGAGAAGAAACATTGTTCTTTTAGAAAATTAGAAATTTGCTGTTAATGGCTTGGTTATTGTTTCTACTACAGGAGTTGATTAAAAAAAATAAATTGCTGATAGTTTTATGTGGTAAAAGTCAGAAGAAGTTGTTGGGTATCTATATGGTTTCTCATATGCCACAGATTGCTGTATGCAAAGGATTTATATGGCTATTAAAATCTAGTAATTTAAGGAGTCTGCTGTGCAATGATTTTTTTTTCCTTTGGGGATGAAGGGGGCTGTGGTGTGAGATGGCACACGGCACAGGGGACTTGCTCTGCTGCTTGATGCAGGTTTTGCCTCAAAGAATATTTAATAATGTCAAGAGAAATGGTAAAGACCGGGAAGGCTCAAGTCTCATCTCTTCAAAGACAACAGGAATTTTGCTTTTTTTCTTTTTACTAAGAGGAGGTGCCCCTAAACACTCGCGAAACAAAATAAAACCTCAAGGGGCAGGGGAGTTAGGTTTCAAGCACAAAGATTCCTCTTAAAACTCTTGAAAGTGTGTTAAGTATCAGCTTCAGCTGCAATTACAAGTCTTACTGAATTCATACAGCGTGCTGGGAATAGTGTTACATCAATACCCAGGCAAAACTATTTGCATGTCTACTTTCCCCAGGAGGCTGCCTTGTGTGACTGAGGAGCTGCAGGACAGGCTGGGGAGCATCCTCCTGGCACCTCGTCCCCTCGCCCTGGCCCTGCTGTGGCACCCTGCCCACGCGGTGATGCCCAGGTCGAGGGGACAGGGGCTGCAGGAAACCTCGGGTTACTGCAGCCTCCAGTCAGGGGCTGGGGCGGCTCAGGGCATCTGTACCACGCGTTGCAGCCTCTCATGGTTCGGTCATAAAAATCCCAGGTCTATTTGGGAGGGGGAATCTGGGTGCTGGCCCAGCTCGCCCCAGCTGTGCAGTCGAGGGCGACTGCTGGTCGCTCCTGATGCTCTGGCTGTGCCTGTGCCCAAGAGGGCCCTGTAGCAGCGGCTGAGCCCGCTAAGGAGAGGCAGGGAGGGAAACTGCCTGCACCTTGCAACACACCTGAAAGCACACGCAATAACACCCATCGCTATTCCCATTAACCCTCATTTCCAGCCAGGAGCCAGAAAAGCCCCACATCAGGGTCCTGTGGCCCTGGCAGGAGGGTAAGGGCTGCTCACGCATTTTCAGCTGCTGCTCCCTTGGCAATGAGCCCCGGCCACCCCCCAGGTAAGGCTGCATCCCTGGGCTCTGCGTGGGGCTGTGGAAGAGCAGAGGCTCCTGCTACTCTTGGTGGGTTTGTCTGTCCTGGGGAAACCATGGGGAAACTGGTGGCTCCCAGTCACGGTGAGCCTGGGCTCTGGGAACCTGCGCTTAGCCAGGGCATCCTGGTCTGGCAGGACGGAGTCAGTTTGCCTTTTGGTTTGTTGCTCAGTGTTTAAGTGTTGCTTTCCTTGTAATTATGCAAATAAACCAGGTCTGTGCTGGGGCTGGGCTGGGAGGCAAAGGCAGAGGGCCGGGGAGGCTTGTATAAAACCTAAGTAAGGAGTCAGCCCTTGGTTGTTATGGGCCCTGTTGAGGCTGATTCACTGTATCCTGAAAAGAGGTTGCAAACACAGCAGGGCTGGCTGGCTAATAAACCTAATGATGCCTCCAAGCAGGCTGTTCTGCTGCTGGGCACCCAGGTCTGTGGTGGTGCCTGTCACCCCACTCCTGGGGTGTCAGTGGGAGCAGGAGGGACAGAGCCGGTGGCAGCTGCTCCCTGGCACTCAGTGTGTGCCCACCTGCTACTGAAGGGCAAAACGCGCTGCCCCTGAAACATGGGCAGACAGGGAAACCTGGGATGGGTCCTGCTCTGCTCCGCTGGAGCCAGAGGTTTGCCTGCAGTGGGGAAGCACCTTTCTCCCTTTTTTTCCAGTAAAGGAGAATAACGGCATCTGCTGCCTTGCAGGGGGGTATCACCAGTGCAGCCTTGTGCAGACCATCCTCCAACAGCTGGGGTGATGCCCAGGGTGTCTGGTGCCATGGTTTGGGTGCGGTTGTCCCCCACCCCAGTAGCCCATCACCCGGCTGAACCTTCCCCTGACTCCATGTGTTTTGCAATCCTCTTTGGACACAAACCGTGTTTTTCCCACAGAAGCCTGGGTGGGAGCATCCTGAGACGCACCCCCCCTCGCCCGCTGTGGGAGGGGGCACCGCAGCCTCCCCACGCGTGTCCCCGCATTCCCCGGTACGTCCTGGGGTCCCCTGCCTGCATCCTCCGGCTGAGACTTACGGCGACGGCAAGGGAAACATACAGGATCCGTTGAGGGGGGGTTAGTTTCGGTTGGTTTTCCTCCTGGGAGGCCCTTTTCCGAGCACCGGCCTCTGGGGGGCGGTTTGGGATCGCTGCGCTGCCCGCTCCTCCCCGCCGTGCCCGGCCCCACAGCGCAGCCTCCCGCCCGCAGCCGCTTCCCTGCGCTGCCCGAGAAGGATTTGCCCTCAGCCGTCTCAACAGGGTCGCTGCCTTTTTCTGGGGTGGTTTTTTATTTCATGCCCAGCAAATAGCCGGGCACAGGGTGCTCTGACAAGGGCTTCGGCTGTTGCCTGGAGCTGGGTGCCCGGCAGAGACGCTGGCTTTCTGAACCCCGCTGTTCCCCAGAAACCCGTAGTTCGCTGTGGAGAGCAGGACCCACCCACAGCCTTGCTGTGCTGCTCTGTTGCTTTTATTTGCTTTTTTTCCTTGCGTTCTGGGAAAAGCTGGACTGGGAGCATTGGGTGAGGTGGCAGGTTTTTGGTAAGGGCACGTGGACGTGTGCTTCTCCCCTGGGGTCTGCGGTGCATACCCTTGGCTTGGGCTCTGGACTGCCTTGGTGTAGGCAACCCGGTGTAGGCAACCTGCGTTCCTTGGGCGGATAACACAAAGTCCTCACGTGGCAAAGGCAAATGTAGCTGCAGGGGAAGCTTCACGCAGGTTCGCCTCGGCCTCTGCCTTTGCCACCCAAGCATTGGGGAAGCCCAGGAGAGCTTGGGCACCGGGTCAGAGTCTGTGCCTGTGCCCTGGAGGAGCAGCCTGTGCTGCTCCACAGCCTTTTGATGGGATAGCAGTAACATAGGGCTGGGAGAAACCTTGAGAGCTCGTCCAGGCCATCCCTAGATAGACTGGGTCAGCCCTGAATGACACCACTGGTCTTGGACATCCTACCACAGCTTCCTGGGAGTTGCCAGGCTCACAGAGCATAGAATCATAGAATGTTTTGGGTTGGAAGGGACCCCTAGAGGTCACCTAGTCCAACCCCCATCCTAGGCATCCTAGTGAGCAGCCTGAATCTCTGCTGAAATTTAAGCTTATTACTTCTCCTTTTTCCATCTGATGCTGGGAGCATGTTCATAAGTCCCTGCAGCACCCTCTTGTGTGTTTGCAGACTTGCTGTGTCAGGAACAAAATCCTGCAGGCTCTGCCAGCTGCTCCTCCCATACCTGGAGGGGTAGTGCAGGCAGCCGGGCACAAACTCTGGGCTTTGCTGGCTTCAAACACTGGGTGTCTTGCTTCACAAGTGTGTTGAGAGCAAACATCCCAGTCAGCTTGGTGGTGGTTTGGTTTTTTTTTTTTT